GGGTTTTGCCGGACAAAATAGGTGTGGGAGTTCGATTAATCAGATAGCCAGCAGCAAGAATGCAATGACCCCAGAACTCAATCGGTAAATTGGCCTGAAAGCGAAGAGCACTAGCCACATTAAGAATATGTTGATGCTTGCGCTCAACACGCCCATTTTGTTGAGGGGTTCCAACACAAGAGGTTTCATGAACAATCCCTTGTTGGCGGAAATTATCACCCATGCATATGAATTCTGTTCCATTATCACTGCGAACTGTTTTAACCAATGCACCAAATTACCGTTTAATGAGAGCAAAAAAATTCATCAAAGTAGAGTAGACATACGATTTATCATCCAATAAGAAGGTCCAAGTACCACGAGAATAATCATCAACAATAGTCAAAAAGTTGCGAGCGCCACTAAAGGCAGGCACCCGATAAGGTCCCCATAGATCACAGTGTATCAAACCAAATATGGAACTACTAATGCTCTGACTAATCGGGAAAATAGCACGAGATTGCTTTGCTCGGAAGCAAACATCACACTTTTTATTTGAAATTAAATAACTAGACTCGATAAAAGGAAATTGACCAAGGACAGTAGAAGAGGGATGACCCATCCGCTGGTGCCACAAGTGTGTTGAAATTGAAGTCACTCGAGAAGTTTTTGCAGCGATTGTCCCTCGAAAGAAATATAGTCCCCCCAACTGCTCACCCGCTCCAATCACCGTCCTCGACATGAGGTCCTGAACAACACAATATTTATTAGTGCAAGTGGCAATACATTCAGATTGGTCCAATAACCGAGATAAAGATATTAAGCTGCACTGAAGACTGTCAACAAACAGAACATCATATAACATAATACGAGAACCAAGATGAACAGTTCCAGCTTTGCAAGCAGTGGTTAGCGTGCCATTAGGCAACTGGACAGAACGAGGTGGAATGTCTCGAATATCAGTAAAAAAATCCAAGAAGCCCGTCATGTGATGCGAGGCACCGCTATCGTACAACCACTCGAAAGGACTACGCTTATCGGATAATGGAGCACTGTTGCGGGCTGAAGTGACCAAGTGAATGATAGACTCCCATTGGGCATCAGTTGAGCCAGAGATAGCTGCCCGATCGGAGGTACTCAAGGAGGAGGACGTCCTGCCATTAAAGGAGCCAGAATCTGTTGTCGTAGTGCCATGCGCAAAAGCCACGTGTGCATGGACTGTACCCTTGCGAGTGGCAGTCATTGGACCATTGCCGCGCCCGCCACGACCACCTCGACCGCCGGTTCGACCACCTGAACCCCCACTGCGACCAGCCCCTGTCCCCCACCATTCGGGGTACCCGATGACCTCAAAACATGAGGTGGCAAGATGGCCTGACTTTCCGCAATGAACGCACTATCGGGTTGTTTTCTTTCCAGTAGTATTTCCAGTAGTAGTAGCAGATGAAGTTCTGACATTCGTACCGCCTTCAGTCTGCGCACCGGGAGTGAACTGGATGTCGTACGTCGAGCTGGGGGCGACGCCGAGCACGCCTGGAGCTGTTGTTCGAACAGCAAAGCTCGCTGCTTCAATTGGTGGAGGGTCTTGCAGTGCCGTCCGCATCCTTTCTTCGCGAACCATCATCGAGAAGGCTCGATTGAGAGATGGCAGCGGGTCGAGGGCCAAGATATGAGAACGAGGGGCGCCGTATAAATTCCCTTCCAATCCCATTAAAAACTGGTGAACCTTCTCCGCCTTGCGCCGATGATCCCACTCGGATTGTAGATCACATTGGCATTTACCGCAACGACACATCGGGGGCTTATCATATTCTGACAAATCATCCCATAACTTCGTCAACCGGCCATAATATTGGCTAATGGTACTGCCTTTTTGTTTGCAGTTAGAGAGATCAGATTTTAATTGTTGAATACGAGGGCCATTGACAGTCGTAAATCGCTCACGGAGAGACAACCACAAATCACGAGCATAATCCGGTTCGGTAATCGTAGACCGTACCTGAGGTTCGATGCTATTCATGATCCAAGAGACCAAGAGAGAGTTGTTGGCGATCCAATCATCTAAAAGCTCATCGTTGTCAGCCGGACGAGGAAGGGATCCGTCGAGAAAACCGAATTTCTTTCATGCCCGTAACGCCGTGCGTAGATTTCGAGACCATTCATCGTAGTTCGTATCACCTTTTAATTTTACGTGAGTGACCTGAAGGTCGAGATTATCAGATGACGTGATGTCATAGGGGGAGATAGTACGACGAGCAACAACAGTGTTGCTGCCGTCAGTCGTGCCTTCAGTCGTAGAAGAAGAAGACGCCATGAGTATTGTTGGGATAAGGACCGAGAGAAAATGAATACTGTAAGGGTTTTTTTTTTTT